AGACACGCTTTGTAAATACAACGACGTTTCCATATACGCGGCCGAAATTAGTTCGCATGAAACCTAGGAATACAGTTTTAAAGAGTGATAATCACGATAGTTCAAGATTCTCTACTTCATACAGTTACAACGTTTAAGGTACAGTTGTCCAGAGAGATGTACTTGACCTTGGTAAAGAAGATATTTTATCTAAAAATACAAGAAATTAATGAAAACTTTGAAAATCCGTCTGATTTTAATTCAGAAGACTGTATTACATATTCACATTCTTTTCGATTAAATTTGTCATAAACTCTTATAAAAATATGATAAAATGAATTATACTTTTTGAGATTTCAATGAATAAAAAATAAATAAATATAATAACTAATAAAGTTGTACTCTTAACAATTGCTGTCGTTACTACTACAACAGGCAATGTCACAAAACAGACAAATGATAATTATGATCAATTATCTCTCTACAGTGTACAAATATTATAAAAAGGAGGTCTGGGGTATATATAACAGTAAACAGTAACCTAACGACAAAAGTAACAAAAAATTAAAAAAAAGATACAGCCTCCAACAATATAAAACACGTCTATACATTGCTTCAAGCTCTAAATAGTCCCGTATAATCGAAAACGGTAGTTTGATTTTCCTTGACATGTTACTTGTGAAAAATTAGAATGCTAATAATTTCCTACATTTGGCCTTATAGACTCAATTGCTATTCTTGGACATATAACAGTCTGTTAATGTAACTTTTCCACGGCAGAGCTTCTGGGACTCAATGTTAGGCCGGCAGTGACATGTTGGCCGTCTGTTAACAAAAGCGGCTACTTACGTCTCGCATGATACATGTTGACTGCCTTCTTGCATTTGATATACATATGAGATCATATGACACTATGGTCACTTAAACCGTCAAGTATAGCAAAACAAGAGCTACTTGTCGATGATCTCGAAAAAATACTTTGTTTGATTTTTATTAATAACATAAGCTTTAGCTCGTGCCTTCTATCAATAGGTCTGTGAGTCAAGCAATAAGTATCTTTTGACCTAGAACCCGGTCAATAATTGCACACTGAAGATTGGATGATTAAGAGCTTTACATACGTATATGTAAATGCTCTTTTGTTCCGACGTTAGAAAGTTCCGGGCGGAAAGAACTAACTAGCCGAAAAGTTCCGGAGGAACTTATTAACTAGTTACTTTGTTCTTCCTCTGGTTTAAAAGTTCCACCGGAACAAAGTGACTAGTTGAAAAGTTCCAACGGAACATATCAACTAATTAGAAAGTTCCTTTTTGCCAAATTAGTCAAAACCGGAACTAACAAACTAGCCCAAAAGTTCCAACGGAACTTATCAACCAGTCACAAAGTTCCATTTGGAGAAGTGATGCAAAGTAAAAGCGCAACATATTATATTTGAACATTTCAAAGGGAAACCAAGATACTGATTACAAAAGTCAAAAGGAACTTATCAACTAGCCACAAAGTTCCTCTTTGGCAAATAAGTCAAAACCGGAACTAACAAACTAGCCCAAAAGTTCCAACGGAACTTATCAACCAGTCACAAAGTTCCATTTGGAGTTTGGAGAATTGATGCAAAGTAAAAGCGCAACATATTATCTTTGAACCTTTTCAAAGGGGAACAAAAGTGTCTTTTATACTGATATTCATTCTTCCCTCTCTTCATTATTATGGTACTTAATTCGGTCAGAATGTTGCCTTCATAACGGAATAAGTTCTAATTTTTTGTTATACATTAATCTGAAATTGATATTTTTAAAAGTACCCACATAAGGAGGGGGTATTCTTCCCCTCTCTTAAAGGTACTATGAATACTAAATTTGCATGACAATGCAACTTATTCCGTTTGCTACATTGTTCCTGGACTTTTCAACTAGCTACTTATTTCCGGAACTTTTCGACTGCACTCGGAATTAAACAACTAGTTGGAAAGTTCCATCGGAACGAAATAACTAGTTGAAAAGAGTTGATTATTATTTTTATTTTTGGTACATGCATCAACAATCATATGAATCAGATCATGCAACGATTTGTTTAGAAAGGCGTTTGTTTAGACGATCAAACTTAGATTTCTTACCTTGGTCACGTTGGTTTCAATACAACTGAGGAATGAGAATGTGGCACATCGAATGAGTCAGTATTTAAACATAGAAACCAAATTCTGCTTCAAACATAGATGATGGTAGTAAGGTTAGATGATTTTAAGTGCCAGCTTTGCAACTATGGGCAAGTCTGTGCTAGCATTATATTAGAATGCACTTATCATTCCCAAAAGCGTTTTTTGAATAAACATCTTAACATATTGATGTACCATCGTCTGGTTTCCTATGTGATGGCAACATGGCCAAAATCATCAGTTGATGCCCTTTAGGAGTATTCTCCCTTCTATAATGATGATTGAAACAAAATAAAATCTGAAAATAATTAAAAAATGACCATGATTCTAAGTTGCCTTTTATAGGAGTTAATCTAAACCTATTTTTTGTGAATTTTGTTTATTATCTTGAAAACTAAAATAGATAAACAGAAACTCTGTGCAGCAAAAATGATAATCAAGATAAGAGTTTGGCCCATACAGATTCAGTTCAACACGCAGATTCTTGTTTTTGATTGATAAACATTGATTTTATTTTTAAAAATCAAAACATAACTAAGTAATGTTGCTCTATATGTACAGTTATGAGTTCATAATCCTACACCTAGTTGATACTGTTTACTTAAATTTTGGCATTGCACAGGTTCATATTTTTCTCAGACTGTTTATGAGGGTCTGGCTGGGGATTCCTTCATTTCTGTATTCTTTAATTTTATTAGGCCATTTTTCGCTCTATTCTTTATACTTTCTGCCTATTATTCTCTATCTTTTTTATATTATAGCACCTCAATATTCTCTATTCTTTATTCTTTTTTGTTCATTTTTCTGTACTATTTATATTTTTTGCCCATTATTCTCTATTCTGTAAACCCCCATCCACACCCTCATTTATAAGGTTTTTACACTTATTCCTTGGATTGATACTTTAAATTAGTCTGGGGGAATATGATTTTTTATCAGTTGTTATTGGCTTTGAAATAGCATTCAGTAATTACAAGTACTTTTATATTGGTACTTTGTTTCTATTTTTTTGTTAGATGCTGTTTAGCTCACCTTGCCCTAAGAGCAATGAGAGTTTTTGCCATCACTTTGTGTCTGTCTGTCATCTGTAAACTTTTCTTTAAACTTTTTACTCCAATGGTTTAAAACTAAAGTTTGTCTGCTTTATCTATAGGATGTTAAATTCTAAGCTTGTTATTTTTGTCCAAGTTGATAAACCAACATGGCCACCCTGTCTGAAAATAGAATATGGGGGTCAAACTACAGTTTAGGCTAATATTTCTAAAACTAAAGCAATAAGAAAAAAAACTTACAGTAAAAATGGTCATCACAAGTTCTATCTGCCATGAAATTTTTGGTAAAATTATTGCCCCTGAAAAGTAGATTTTTTTAACTTTTTGGTGCTTTCTTGCCATTGTTTCAAGAGTATAGGAGTTACCTTTTAAGTATAAATTGTAAAAATTATCAACATGAAAAGATGCATCTAACCTGAAAATTGGAGAAAAATATAACAACTTATTTTGGAGCTTTTGCCCCCTGAAATATTGTTTTTTTCCAATTTGTAAGAGTTAATTGCAGTTATCATAAAAATTATAGAAACTTGGGTAAAAGGTAGATTGCAAAAAGATCAGCACGACCAGATCTATCTACCCTGAAAATTGAAAAAAAATCTGTCAACCTGTTTCGGAGATCTTGCCCCTGAAGTATCAATATTTTTGCAATTTTTGACTGTTATCATTAGAACTATAGGAGCTAGGTTAGAAGTGTTTACTGCAAAAATATTAAGCATGACAAGATCTATCTACTCTGCAAGTTTTCCCATGAAATGTTGATTTTTACTGTTTTTTGCTGTTTTCGCTGTTATCTAGAAAACTATAGGAGAAAGGTTAAACAGAAAAAAATTGCAAAAATGGCCAGCAACACAAGAGTAACTGTAAAATGTGCATATAAAAGTCCTGATTAGCAAACTGGTGATTTTTTTCACAAGGTGAGTGATATAAGCACATGTGTGCCTCTTGTTTTGTGCCTTGTACTAATCTATCCAGTTAAGCCATTAGCAACTTATTTCTATAATTTGTTCATATGTTGTGTTGTTACACCACTTTCTCAGATTAGGGAGGGTTGAGCACTCACAAACATGTTTAACCCTACCACATTCAGGAGACTTTAATTTAGTGGTTGTTGTAGGTTCATATTGGTCATATTAGTTTATCACAAATTGTATTGATATAAATTAGGCGGTTTGGTTTTCTCATTTGAATTGTTTCACATTTTTCATGTCAGGTGCTTTTATAGCAGACTATATGGTATGGGCGTTCTCAATGTTGAAGGCTGTATGTTGACCTATAATTGCTGAAGGATCCACGCCATTCAAACTCTGATAGCTGTATCATCCTTGGGGTCTCTGTTTTTTAAACTGTATCTATGTCATCTTTTGGCTGTCTGCTATTTTTGAGCTGTGTCATTTTTTGTTGTCCCTTAATTTTTAGCTGTACCTGTGTTATCTTTTGTTGTCCCTATATTTTTAACTGAATCTGTCATCTTTTGTTGTCCCTTTACTTGTAGCTGTATATGTGTCATTTTTTGGCTATATCTGCTATTCTTTAGCAGTATATGTGTCATCTTTTGTTGACTGTTTATTTTTAGATGTATATGAGTCACCTTTTGGCTGTGTATATTTGTATTTCATTAAATTTGTTGTTGTGATCTTTTGGCTATGTCTATGATCTTTAGCTGTGTCTTTTATTTTTTGGCAGTCTGTGTTATATTTCATTTGAGAGATGTCTGTGATCTTTAGACATTGTCTATGCGATCTTTTGGCTGACTGTGTGATCTTTGTTACTATACTTTGTATAACATGTAATTATCCTAATCACTGAAGACAATACAGTACCATTGGCTATTCTTTATTTTTACTTTTCAATTTATTACTGACTATTGTCTAAACTTTATCTCTACTCTTTTCTATATACATATATCATGTGTCTCAACTAAGTTTAAGTTCCTAGAATAAGACTGGGTATTGTTATGAACCTCTCTTCATTACAGCAGTTACTAAAATCTATATCAAAATAGTCAAGCCTGTGATTACAGGATACCAAGGCAAAGATAAGTATGTGGCCTTATTAAACAAGCGTACTACTGGGTTTATTTTAAATCTTACATATATAGGCAGTGATTGGCTATACAGAGGGTATGTTAAAACTAGTTTGACTATATTCAAGTACTGACATCTTTAAATTGTATTTCAACAATAAATTCATTTATTGAACTAACAACACATGTGTATCATGTCTCTATCATTCTTTAATTAGTAAGACACCACTGACGAGTCATACAGCTATGCAAACTGAAGATAAACTTGATGCAGAAGACACAAGTGATAAGTATACAGTAAGTATGCATTTTTTCTTTAATAAAATCACACCAAAGAATACCTGGGCAATATATATGTAAGACAGAGGTATGTCTCTTCAAAAATCAGTTTCCATGTCGTTTAAAATTTAGTTTCACAAACAAATATAAGAAATTGTATAAAGTTATTCTTAAAACTAATTACATTAAAAGTGTTTGCTTTCATTAGTTTCTGGAATACTTTTTTATTAAAAAAAAATAATTTTTGAATGATTATTTACTCATGACAAAATCTCTAATAAAGTCCTTCAAAATTACATTATGCTCCATTTTATAGGATTGCTACAGTCTTGTATGTCAAATAATAATTGTGGTTTTGGTGAATTGCAATGGTTCTTCAAAGGCATCTAATTATTACTAATGCCATTGACTGCTATGTAAAATGTTATGACCTTGACTGATCATCAGTTGTTTATGGTTACCAATCAAATGATACAATTATTTTTTTTTCATTTATAAGTGATACACAAAAATTCTATTGAGTCTAGTGTCCAGATAAGCTGAAGTTTCAGCACATCTTTTTACATTGGGGCTGATCCAAGATATAATACACCAGATTATCTGTGCTAGTTGAAGCAAGGGGATCAACCATTTTGGAATTCATAATCATTTATTAATCAACAGTTTGAAATAAAAATGAAACCTTTACACATATTTGTCGAACTTTACATTTCAATTGCCACATGCACTCCCAATTCCATATGTCCCTGCTATATGTCATAAATAAAAAGTACTACATATAATGCTAATTATACAGCTTCAAATGATAAATAAGCAGGTTTCTTCAGTCTACATGATTCAATTGGTCAAATAAATAATAAACAGTTAGCACTGATGCACCATCAACAACCACCAAAATATTGCACTAATATTGAATAGGAATAATCTGAATAAATCATTGTTTTTCCTGTGATATAGAACACCAGTCCGTTAAATGTCCATTTATAATATACAGATCTCTGGTCACAGATTTACTGGGTAAAGTCTCTAATGCTCCCATCATGGCACCTACAATATAAACATATAAATGAAATAGACAGACATTAAGATGTTTACTCTACTTGCAGTGATACTCGAGGGTTCTAACTGATAAAATCTCAGATTCAGGACAAATCCATACACTCACTGGAGAAATGTTCTATGCATTTCAAACAATACTTGCAACAACCCTTTTGTGATGAGCTTGCTAGACAATATTCCAAACACAATCACAAAAAACTTTCCAATCATTTTTTATTTCTAATCAAGTCTCCTAGTTCATGCACTGATCAGATTTATTGTACAACTTAATCTCGCCAATTAAACACATGTAATATTTACCACTGGAAATCAATCATGATTTTAAATATAAAGAAAAAGGAAAATCTACCAACTTCCCCAATTAATAATGGAATTCCCCCATGAAAGATGTTGATGCAGGTATGAAATTATAGCTTGCAGTTTTGGAATTTATTGTTAATGCAACACCAAATATTACTATTTCATTTCATATTACCTTAATATGGATTAGCTAGGCAAGCAAAAAACATATCTAATTTAAATAAATAGGGAATATGTCCATGGGACACAGATGATGTCCCCGCTTGCATATCATATAAAGTTATAAAGGAACATAACTGAAGAACAGTAAAAGTGACGTTACCCAAATTTGTACTTGAACTGCGTTTTGTGGTAATAAGTATTGTGTATAAGTCTCATAACATTTGGTTGAGGCAAACTAAAGTTAGAGAACGGAAACAAAAATTCAGCAGTTTTTATGTTTATAAAGGGGCATAACTCAAGAATTGTAAAAGTGACGCCACCCAATTTCGAACTTGATCTGTATTATGTGGTAATAAGCATTGTGTATACGTTTCATAACATTTGGTTGAGGCTAACTAAAGTTCGAAAACGGAAACGAAAAATTCAGCAATTTTTCCATTTGTAAAGAGGCATAACTCTAGAACGGTTATAGTGACGCCACCAAAATTCAAACTCGATCTGTATTTTGTGGTAATAAGCATTGTGTTTAAGTTTCATAACATTTGGTTGAGGCAAACTAAAGTTAGAGAACGGAAACCAACTTTGGGACGTACGGACGGACAGACATACAGACGGACAAGGGTAAAACTTAATGCCCCTCCACTACGGCAGGGGCATAAATATTACTGTTAACACTAGTCAAACAATAATTATTTCTTTGCTAAAATATAATTTTACCTCCAAGCCAAGCAGCGTAGTTTTGTTTCGCTGGCATTTGATGAAATCTAAATTCTTTAATGGCTAAGCTATCCTTGTACTTTGGTTTCTTTAACAAATCATAAAGTTCTGCCCTAAGTCTGTGATGAAAGCCAGCTAACATTGATGTCCCACCGATTATAACTATGTTCTCTGATAATGCTTTCCTCATATCTATGGGGCACTGATAGTGAGTACATGAAATTAAATAAATATAATTATAGTTTTTATAGAACTTCAATTGTTTATATATTCCTTCATTGTAATCCTTTTTCAATCTCATTTAATTTTCTCCATAAATGATACCATTCATTAGTTTTCTTGTTTGAATTGTTTTAACATTTGTTATTTCTTGGTCTTTTACAGCTTGCTTTGTGGTATGAGTTTTGCTCATTGTTAAAAATAACCCCAATACATAACAAATATAGAACTTCAATTTCATTTTCAACATGCAGCATAATCATCTATTCATTTTGAATTCCTGTCATGGTTTGTTTCAATATTTCTTATTTTAATTGCCATCTTTGTAAATCAAATTTAAAATCCCTTCAAAATTCATGTATTTCAACATGATTGGTGATCTTTAATTTCAGGAACATCTTCATTATATTTATAAAATAAGGTCAATACACTGCTACAGCCCTTTCCTGAGGATCATTATAAAGTCTGCAAAACTGGTTCTGTGCAATAAAAAAAACAATATTAGAAGTAGACATCATTACTTACTCCCAGAAATACTGGTTTCTAAAATTTTCCATTCTACATAAGTATTTTTTACTTCTACAATATAAATGATATACAAACTCATTTACACAGCTAAAATATTTGTACATTGTAGCTATTGACAATTTTAATTATACTTCTCATCATTGGTCCTCATTGCAGCAAACTTAAAAGTATTTCCCAGGACAGGGAATAACTTGTATTGACTGTGATTTACTTTACAAATTCCTGCTCATTTAAGTGATTTGATTATGTCCAACAATAATTACCTGGACTATGGCATCTAATATAAGTGTTGATACTGAGACTTCTTCATTATCTTGTTCAAACAAAACTTCACAACTGTGCTCTCTGTATAAACATAAAAAAAATTTGTTGCGACAGTTTTCATCAATGACTTTGTTCAGTATGCAAATAGGAAGTATGGTTTGACAATAAAATCAAGATTTTCATTTTAAACAATATCTGAATCACAGCTGCTGAATTGTGAAATATAGGTCATACGACCTTCTTCTGATAGCAAAAGGTCAGTCTCTCAAAAATGCACCTGCATACATAATTATATGAATGTTTTTCTCTTATTTTCTAATAACTGGTTGCAGACCTGCATGCCCGCATGGATATGAACGCCTAGGGTACTACCAATATTCCTTGTAACTTTGTATAGGGGAGTTAAAAAGATCACATAGAATCACAAAGATATTTTTTGTAAGGCTTTTGTTATAAGCTAGAGACATATAGCTCCACTTTACATTTGTCCATATTGAATAAAAGTCTAAATATTACATCTCCTGATGGCATTAGAAGATGCTAGCTGGGAAAAAGGTGAATATTTAAGGTAGCAATACACAGTTAGGAGTTTGGTTTCGCATTTTGGCCCCGGTGGATTTTTCAAATATGAAAGTTATTGTGTAATAAAATTCATTTTTAGACAGCTGAGTACTAATTTAGCCTTCAAAGGTGGTTTATAAGAACATCAAGATTATTTTTTACATGTTTTATGGGCTATTTTCTGTTTGACTCTCCGTATTTTCATAGCTATACCGGTCATCGGTCCAGAAATTAATGTAATGTTTACAAACACTTTTTTTCTACACGAAGTTTTTGACGCAATTTTACAAAAAAATGAGACGAAAGACATATGATTTTCATTGAATTTATTGAAAGATATATGTAAACACTTTCAGAAAAGGTATTACTTGAAGTGATTGAAATTCTGCTTTTGGTCAAATTTTGTGGAAATATGTGACATCTTTTCCCCCCTTTTTGCTATATTTTATAACAAAAAAATGCAGATTGTTGCCATGGATACACCAAAAAGAAATTATATTTTACTATTTTATATACTGGATATGAAATCTATGGAAGATTCTGATTACATACATATGCACATATATGACACAAACAGTAAGCTTAGTATTGCAAGAAGGCAATGAAAAGGGGATGGTAAAATTTATGAGGGAAAATTTTAATATTTTTTCCTAACTGTTTATTGCTACCTTATGGCATACTTACTAAGCTTAGAATTGTATAATTTAAGACTTTTCATACCACAAATCTATTGATATTTAGATTTTAAATCAACTTCTGAAGGGATTAAGTGTTTAAGAATGACAATACATGTCAATTTTATTGTTTACAGTCCTTAGCAACCAAAATTAGACATTTTGACACAAGGTTTATAATTGTACTCTATTTGCTTAACCCTTGCTTCTTAAGGATTGCGGAGTATGTAGTAGCCTAGGTATTGAATGTTTTGTATTTTTTCTTGCAAATATATCAAATTATTATTTTTATCAAGATTTCATGTTACATTTTGACATATATTAAATGTATAGTTGATTCAGCTGTAAGAAATTGATTCCCCATTACCAAGTTTTTTAATCAAGTCTTTGGTATACATTAAACATAAAGATCAACATTTTCATGCCTGAAATTGTTAAATTTTGTACAATTTTGCATCATCAGAGGTCTTATAAAGATTTTCAACATTAAAAAACTGACAAAAGAGATATAGTTTTTAAGATTTTGCCAAAAATTGAGGTAGAAACAAGATTTTACATTTTGATTTCGCACCTTTCTTTAAATCAGTTTTTGTCGCGTTTCAGTGTCAACTGCTAACCTTCATAAAATATTCATTACTCAACCAATTTTGAAAAATAAAAGGCCATTTTACTCGTTTTAGCTAGCAGAACACAGAAAATTAGTTAAAAGGGTGAATTTGAAAAAAATATTTACTATTAAGGTAGCAATACACAGTTAGGAGTTTGGTTTCGCATTTTGGCCCCGGTGGATTTTTCAAATATGAAAGTTATTGTGTAATAAAATTCATTTTTAGACAGCTGAGTACTAATTTAGCCTTCAAAGGTGGTTTATAAGAACATCAAGATTATTTTTTACATGTTTTATGGGCTATTTTCTGTTTGACTCTCCGTATTTTCATAGCTATACCGGTCATCGGTCCAGAAATTAATGTAATGTTTACAAACACTTTTTTTCTACACCAAGTTTTTGACGCAATTTTACCAAAAAATGAGACGAAAGACATATGATTTTCATTGAATTTATTGAAAGATATATGTAAACACTTTCAGAAAAGGTATTACTTGAAGTGATTGAAATTCTGCTTTTGGTCAAATTTTGTGGAAATATGTGACATCTTTTCCCCCCTTTTTGCTATATTTTATAACAAAAAAATGCAGATTGTTGCCATGGATACACCAAAAAGAAATTATATTTTACTATTTTATATACTGGATATGAAATCTATGGAAGATTCTGATTACATACATATGCACATATATGACACAAACAGTAAGCTTAGTATTGCAAGAAGGCAATGAAAAGGGGATGGTAAAATTTATGAGGGAAAATTTTAATATTTTTTCCTAACTGTTTATTGCTACCTAAGAGCCTAATTTTACCAGAAATATGATATTTTACCTCTATTGAAGGAATATTTAACATAATTAGATAGGATGACTACTATTAAACTTGTTTATCAGTAATATGAAGTATTTTGTTTATTGCCATCCTTAACATATAGAACATGAATGTCATAATGAAGTAAATGAACATACCTTATTTCTCCAGAAATATGTAGAATTTTACCTCCATCCAGAGGATATTCTACACTTGGAGGTGGAGTTGGTAACTGCAAATATAAAAGAAAAAAAATAATATCAAAGGCATGAATTAATCATCTACAATCTGATATTGTAAATGTTATAATCCTTATCATTATACCTTACATTATATCGTAATTATTTGATTGGCTAATATGGAATCACTTGTCATAGTTTAATTTCGATGTTTTTCCAAAAATTGGCAGGAGCGGTGAATAACCCAGACAAATTGAAGCCTCCATCAAACAACCCTATTATACACCGGTGAATAACCCTTTCAGCCCCTTGGTTTTTGCACGAGTTATCTCCCATAAAAAATTATGTCATTGACGCTTGTTAACAAAATGGCAAAGGCCAGGTAAGAAGCCCATCAAGTAGCAAGGAAACAAGATCAAACAAGGCTTGGGAAATCATCTAGTTCCAAGGATTTCTCTTGTAAACGGTCCTTTTCAGGGCCAGCAATATTTTACAGAAAGAGTCTACCTTTGTTGTACATACCAGAAATTCTTAGACACAAAATAATTTTCTAACGTAAGTGTTTTGACAATCTTTTTTCTCTCCCATAAGGCAATATTTTACACTTAATAATAACTTTATTGTTTGTTCGGTATAATAAAACAGTTATGGCCAATTGAGTCGGTAAATATTCAAAATTGTCAACCCGAGTAAGGGTTTACAATTTTGGATATTTACATCCTCAGCAGGCCAAAATTGTAAACCCTTACTCGGGTTGACAATTTTGAATATTTACATCCTCAGCAGGCCATAATTGTATATTGTACAACAAATATTTTTTTTAATATAAATATAATTAAAATAAATACAGAAAATTACATAAAAAATTAAGAATACAAAAAAAAACTCCCATCCAGACCCTCAGACAGTAAAGAGCATTTTCCATTATTATACTTCATGTCAAAATGCCAGATTTTGATTGGTTAATACGATGGAGACAATTTACTCTATCCTATGGTAAATACTCTATTACCCTTCACGGAGACGCTTGATCAAGTGTGCGCTTTATCAAATACGGATGGTTGTCATGTACAAGACATCATAGTTTATTACTTTGAATTTGAGATTTAATAGACAGTAATAACAGAACATTCAGTATAATAAATTAAATAACACATATCTGAGAGGGTGATAGAGCAGATTGTTACCCCTGGAAAAGACATTGTTAACCTTGGCTTCGCCTCAGCTGACAATGTTTTCTCAGGGTAACAATCTGTTCTATCACCCTCTCAGCTATGTGATATTTATATAGTGTCATAAGTATCAATTATAAAAAAAAAAAATCTTTTTAAATAATGACATACACTTGATATGAGAAATAAATAATCATATAATAACAATATCTACCTTGTCTTTACTTTCTCCCTTCACTGTCACTTCATGTATCTCTTTGGCTCTTTTTAAATTTGTCACAAAACAACAGCGAACTACAAAAGTAGAGCAGCCACTTAAGAAAGTCTTTAACAGATGATAATAATCTTAATGATTGACTGATAACAACTTTGAACTTATCTTTAATCAACTTTTCCTTACTGTGGATTCATTATTATTCGTAGGATACCAATTTTTCTGGATTTTGTGATTAAAGGTGAACCACAAATTTAAATGTTCAACAAAGTACAAATTTTCCATGAGCTTGTATGTAGACTTAATACAAAACAATGAAATCAAATATCCATAAAAATACAATGTTCCTTCAATCCACGAAAATAAACGAATCCACAGTATATAATTGTCAGCTGTCTTTTACATACAAGTTAGCAATTAATCCTGAAGCAATTATCTCATACTTAGACCCAAAGAATTATTGGTATATAATGTTTGCATTGAAAAGTTTTATAAATTTGACAGTTCACACATACAATCCTCAACTATAGCCATCTCATCAGTGAGGTTGTTTTAGACTAAGTTAGGGAACTGTCTGCAGTATGACTTACCTTTGATGTCTTCCAAAAGTTCTTCAGTTAAGCAATCTATAACAGAAACAAGAGTTTAAAACTTGTACTATTCTATTGATCAGCAAAAAAACATGAATAGGTCACATAATAGAATCAGAGATAAGAATTGTCTTACATTGACATCATGTTTAAATGATTAGTTTCTTCCACAAATTGATTATCATGTGCAAAGATATATCCTTTTGAACAGACACATTTTTTCATTGGAAATTCAGACACTTCTGTGATGATTTCTTCATTGTTTAATATATGACAGGTTCAGTTTAATGCCAATAAGAAATTTCATTTAAAATTCTAATCCCTTCATTTGAATGCATGATTTTTGAATCTCACATTTTGTCCGCAACCAAATAAATTGATTTTTTAAAAATATAAAGTTTGAGTTAATGAAACTCAATGTTCTTTAGAGAACCAATCCAACAATCATAATAAGAGGAGTTAGTACGAAAATTTATAAAAAAACAGGACAAAGATTTTGATTTTCAATAGTGTGCTGATTTTTCAAAAGATACATATATACTTCTGAAAACAGTATGTTATGATGTTTGTCATAATATTGACATATGTTAATATTCCCTGTATCTGTATCTTCACTGCGCAGATGTAGTGTTATCTACATATTAGTAATTACGAAGAATTCCATTTCAACAGGTGTTAAGGCAGTGAGGTGTGCTATTTTGCTACATGTTAAAGGCCTTACTGTGACATTAGATGAAGAACAGCAATAAAAGTGCTGTTCCTTGGCTTTATCAAGAGCCTGTCATAAAAACCTATTTTCCAAATCTTCTTATGGTAACACTTCAATTTTATTATCTTACCTGGAACTTCTGAAACAGGTTTATCTTGTCCATCTTCAGTTATTTTAGCGGTTTCCTTTAACAGATCTTCTATCTTCCTATAATCAATTTTAATTTTTTTAACAATTATTATCAGTCATAAACATATATAGTTACATCATATGTATGTTTCACGAGAATCCATTTGTTTGATTGGTTAACAACAATTGCGCATTATGCAAAAATTAACATTCATATCAAAATAAATGTTACATTCCTTATGACACATGCTTCTTTTCCAAAAATTGCACAGGTAAATAAAAGAAAAACTTGATAAAACGTTTTTTTCCATGGTCTAATTAGCATAAAATTGTAATTATAAGAAATGAGTGCTTCTTTTTGTAATTTTATTGGGGTGTAAAAGTGTTGATCGTCCACAAATTTTTAGAACATACAAAAATGTGCTTCGGTCAACACTTTTACATCCCAATAAAATTACAAAAAGAAGCATTCATTTCTTAAATGAATACATGTACTGAAATACTGTATACTTTCATTTGCTGAGAAAATGTGAACTTCATATTTTTGCATTTGCTGGACATAATGCTAGAGTTTTTTCAAAATATCATTTTTAGAAAATAAAACACAATGTAATGTGGCACTAATTAGCCTAAAATAAACATTGTTTTAACAGGCATGTTCAAGTTTGAATAAAAGTTTGTAAGCTTTTAATTTTTTAACATTTTTATATTTCATTCAAATTGATCTTTTCATCAAGTTAATATACATCACTGTTACTTATTCCTATCGACTGGATCACACGTGGATGAAGCTTACCTATGTACTGCCTTGCCAGCTACAGGTATGGCCTGTAAAGCTTTGAGAACTGGAATGCCTTCATATACCTTTATACTAGTTAAGGAAAATCTTTGGAATTCCAGTGGGTCAATGTAGTCCCTCTAAAATCCCCTCAAATATGCATAAAACGTTATTATTCGTAACAGATAAATTACATGGAATTTTAAAGTACCTTTATCTCATTTGTATTTTGTTTATTACATACAAGCATGGTAGAATAGGTGCTACATAGTCGACCCGAGAACACAGTTATTTCGTAGTGCATTTCTTTTAGACAATAAAGTCAAATTAAAAAAATCGCACCTGCTCTATCTCAAAAAGATTTTTACAGTGTAGTGTACTATTATTGGGACAAATAATATCAAAATTATAGAAAAATCTACCAGCTCTAACTCAAAAATGACAATTCTATGTAAAGGGGGTCTAAAATTCAGTTTGACAGCTTCAGACATACTAGTTTTTGACCTTTTTTAACTGGACCAAATCACTACTTAACATACATATTCAACAACCAATTTTTTTTAACATGTAATTTCATCCCCTTACTTAATATTTCATGCATAAAATATAAAGAAATACATTTGGAAAGTGTATGAACAAAATTTGCAAGTTATACACTGTCCACACTTTATTTGTAGACAACGAAAATCTAAGGACGATAACTGTGTCCTCGGACCAGTCTTCTCTGTAAAAAGTGGATTTAATTTACAACTTACATCACTTAAAGTCTTATAGTATTGTTTCAAGGGAATACAGTATTTGTATACTGGTTGACTGATCAATCAAGTGTTGCCAACTAGTCACTAGCAAATATTCTATATTTACTGTGCATTCATTATTATTTGTGAATACCTATTTTCATGTATTAATTTCAAATTTACAAAAAATTTAAAATCACAAGTCAAACTTAAAGGCGATGTTGTACTTTGGATCAACCTTTGTGAGACAATATGACAAATTAAGACTGGTCTTTTACACTGTCTAAGGATACAGGTACAACAACTGTTTCTGAGTATCCAAGGTCAATAACTAAACCAGTGTTGGTCCCCAAGGTCAACATAGACAACAGATGACCAGCTCCAAACATAACAGATGACACCTGGAATATATTCAAATGACAGGTTTATGGTGATGACATTACAGCAGTAACATAATAGTCAATTTGCAAATTACTAATTTGATTTTGAGTTTAAACACTTTTAGGTGCCAAGTTGCCATAAATTCTAAATCTTCGAAAAATCTTGATTTCATCTATGGAAAGCAGTACTTATACAATACAGGACATGTACCTCAAAATGTATAAAGAGAACTTTGGCTAGGGTTTCTCTCACTTGGGAAGGACAAAGTATGGATTCACACACTACCAGTCTTCTGTCTTTAGCATTTACCAATAAACTCCTGAAAAAAACCAATTTCTTTGTAAAAGTTGTACCCATACAGTTTAATTACCAGTGTTATCAAATGCCTTTATCTAAAAGAAGTCTGTGTAGACTGTTTGATATGGCTGTATTTTTTATTTTTTTATTAGCTCCTTCTAATATTTTGAAGGTCTGATAACAATTGAGGTTATACTATGAATCATATCTAACTTAATATTGTTAATTATATAAGTTTTGTTTTTATATAAATAATTTCCTATTAATTCTTTTTTTTATTATTTTCTTTATAAACTTACCTAAAAAACAATTGAAATAGAAAATTTTTGAGATTCTCATATAATTCCTCTGTACTGCTAAACTCCCATATTTTCACAATCTGTAACAGATTTAAACAAATGAATCACTTTTTTTGTTTTTTACAATTTTGGCAACTTGGCCACTGAATTACACCTATGCATACATGTATTCAAATTTCATGACAGTCAGATGAAATAGGATTGCAAATCCTCTGACAATCAAAGCACATAATAAAAGACAAATTCTTTTTTATTGAACACTAGGCCTTGTTGGCTGGGTGGTCTAAGTAGTTAATCAATGGCCTATCATTCCTGAGGATATGATTTTGACCCCTGCTTATTGTAATGTATGTTCTTTTCCGATCTTATTGACAAGGACTTTCTTTGTGGAGATTTTAAACAGTGAATGCTGGTGATTGTTGGGGGGTTCACTCTTAAATCTCTCTGTTTATTCCATATGGGTGAATTAGACTATATCAATTTCATTATTATCATTCATCCTATTTCACAGTGATTTACAAAGACACAATTCAGTTGATGTATTTTTATTTAAGGAATGACTGTGATATTTTTTCCGTCTATGAAGAAATAACATCAAAAATGTGGTGCACACTAAATAACTCGTGTAGCGGGTTATTTAAAAGTGTGCACCACATTTTTAATGCTATTCTAAATAGACAGAAAAAATATTACAGTCTTTCCTTATAATTTAATTCTAAATTCCATTTTAAGCTGGAGTCAATCATGAAAAAACGTTGACGTCACGGTCACATGACAAAATTATGTCTATGAGCTGATAGACAAAACACTCTCAGCCAATCAGAAGACGTGTTACATCCAAAATTAAATTATTTCTTTAAGAAACAGGAAACTTTTGTAAATTTTTTTTATATTTTTCTATAACTATTGTAAATTTAACAACTTTGTAAACAAAATTATTTGTCAAAATTTTAATATTGATGAAATAAATGTTAAGGAAACGAGCTGTAAAAGCCACTTGGTAGTGTTACTGGCTACATGATGCCAACAAAACTATCACTGGTATGATTAAAATTTGATAAACTTTCATGTAACAATGTTAGTGAACAATTTCCTATACCTTTAAAAAATTATAATTTCAAGACTTTTCTACTAAATTATAGTAAATATTCTAACAATTTAAAATAATTAATTGTGACTATTTGTCCTATCAATATTGTATTTTTCTGTCCTGTGATTTCTGGTCGTTTACCCTAGCCAAGACCTTAAATGGATCAGCTACATGTGTACAGTGGTCTTACCAATAGTCTAATTGTCCTGAATAGTGAATATACAAGTATTTCCGAGGAATAAAGCATGCAACATTCAATAAACCAATTGAACAATATGAGGCTTAAACTATTCAATAATTGATTAAAGGGAAACTTCGCAAAAAAATGAAAAATTGATATTATGTCCATTCTGTATAAAAAAGCTCAAATTCATAAATATTAAAATTTTATTCTGCTAGATAAGAGATCACCATCGATTTTAAATTTAGAGTATCAATTCGCTGCGTGCGGCCATTTTGACATCTTCTCGGTTTAGAAACCACGATATATTTATAAACCACAATGGACCAAAACCTGCAGTAACCTAATGTAGTCGTAATTGCGTGTCGATATCTTGTCAATCGTACGGTTGTTTTATCCGACTAACTAACTTGATACGGAAAATGTAATTATTTGTTAAATAACTATGGTCTGTCGGTTTTTAAACTGTTTATATGGGAATTAGTTAAAAAGTCAAAGTTCAAAGTCATAAATAAGTGTTCCGTGTAAAATTGTTTTCGAAAATCTAATTTGTTCATAATTCTTTTATGTAATAAACTTATTTAAATAAATTCGGACCTTCCCTTATCTGATCAACAGCATGGCTAAAGGTATTACTCCCAAAGGTATTGTGAGGTGACACGTCCAGGTATTCAAGCGATTTCCTGTCGGGCTTTAAAACTCTTATTACACAATTACATAAAGCAAGTTTCTTGCATCGTCTCACTTGTGAGAGTATTGATCAGTGTATACGGCCGATAACTTGTAACTTTCCATTTTGAAACTATCAGGTGTATAATATAGATCTCTGTCTTGCGTGCCGATAGTGATATACTAGTCATTACCAGAGACATCTCTGTCATTACTAAACTCATACGCTTGTTTATAAATAACATTTCTGGTGTAAAGAATATATTTATGAAAATCTAAATAATTCCAAAAAAAGATTTGATAAAATAAAAATATATTTACAAATTTTTTTCCAAGGGTAAATTGGGGTAAATGTAAGTATATACTCGTTGTCAATAATGATGGACATTTTGAAACATACAAGAAATATTGATTTAACAAAAATGTACGCACTTGTCGATCATTGATTTATACGCCTTGATAGAAAGTTACGGAACTATAGATAGTCGCAATTTAAAATATATACATGTATATTGAATATAAGAAAGAAACATCCAGAACAATTTGATTTAAATACATATCTAACTTGCTTTGGTTCATCGAAGTTATGGACATAGTAAAATCACAGATTTATATTTCAATTAGATTGTTCTCGAACAATTGAAGAAATTCATCATCATCACTATTGTTGGGTATAATCATGGAAGTAATATTTAATATTACTTCCATTGTATAATGTATAATAAGGTGAACATGGTTCGGAAAGTACCTTATGTCAATTTTCCTGTTCCGACATGCATGTAGTATATGCCACTGGACGTACACTAATGATCCCAAAAAGTCTATTTGAAGAAATAAAGAAACTTCACTTCGGATAGACTGATAGTAGTTGTACAAAAAATAAATTAACGAATACCGTATTAACGTCTGACCAGCAAGAGGGTTGATTAATTTATTACATTAGATTGTGGGTGAATATACCATTCCCAATATTGTTCTTAGTATGCATAAAATATTAAATAATAGCATAGATATAATAGCCAGCTATTATATCTTTGATAAGGGTAACATGAGAAAAAATATAAATACGAAAAGTCGCATATCTGGTAAAAAAAGTCTCACCATCTATAGGATTTCACGTACAATTGTTATTCTTAATCGAAATAACGGACAGTCATTTACATGAATGACGGTACGCTTTGATAAAAAGGGGTGCCGCATATTATTCATCATCAATCTATTTTTTTCAAGTTTATACTTTCCTGTTATTCTTATCAGTTAACGCAGAGACATGTCACTATGCATCTCTAGTTAACGACAATCAACTATATAAATATCTGAATCTGATGTCAAATACCGTTCATCTCTTTCTTTCTTTTTTCTTCTTTTTTTTTTGGGGGGGGGGGATTTGGGCAGGGACATAAACATTGTTAGATGTACTTAGGGTTCCCAGGTTGTTGTTTTTTGGGGGGAGGGGGGCGTGTTGGAGGTCAAGTCTATCGAAAGTTACAAAATAAGAGTGTTTTATTTATGAATTTACAAGAAGAATTCTGTTCTTGGACGTACTTTTCTCTTTTTTTATTTAGTTCAGTGATTTAAATTGAGAAAAAATCTAGTCAGAATTTAAATCGTTTCTGCAATCCCACATCTAAGACTCCTCTAAAATCATGAATGGCCATGCTTCACAATCATCAGAATTTTCTTTGCATTGATACATTATGTATCCAATGACATTTCCGGGTATAACAAGAGCTTCTTGTATATTACCTGTATGTGGTTAGGTGTCGCCCTATGAGGTCTTGCGTATACAGGTTCACATTTATAATGGTTTGTGATATAACAAGGTTTTATGACATTCACACTTCTGCATGTTCTGTATACCACATTATTATCTTATTTTCAAACCGAAAGAGGAAATGAATAATTTCCAGGTAAAATATTGAGTATCAAAGTATCAAATTAATTTCCAGATTTTTTTTTCTTGGTATTAAATAACAGAAATTTAAAGAATAGACTGCTTTTCCGCTTTAGGGGTATTCTTGTCAGTTAAAACAGACATATGATTATATGTGTATATATGTCTCTAGTATAGACATGGTTTATGAATGAATTATAAGTCAATATAATACTTCCATGGTCTTGCAAAGGTACAAGATATAAAGCACATTGAAAATTGATTCCGCCGGTCTGTCTCCATTCAAAAAAAAGGAAGGTTGACGTTAGATTGATTCTGTCATTTTTTTTAAACATCGTTGGTCAAATAGCTAAAGTATTATACGTTGTGAGACTTATAATATTTTAATAAGGACATTCCTGATTAGGAATCCTTTTTTTTTTTATGTTTTTCACACCTGAAAAGAATATTTGTTCGTAATTATTTGATTCCATTCCAAGAATTTCCTGTCAAATTTTCAAACATCTTTTTTCAAATAGCTGAAGTATTTATACGTTGTGACAGAGACAGATTTAAAATATTTTGATGAGAACATTAATTCATGAATATGTAAAGAAAGATCGCTTTGGACGGACCAAATTATATAATTACAATTGGTAATTATCTATTTTAAATAATAAAGGCAGAGACATATAATACAATTGTATTATATGTCTCTGATAAAGGTTACCGATTCTAATTTGAAATAGTACAATTTTTAGTTCATACACTCGTGTTTAGAAGGCCATTATTATTTATAAATCTATTAAATTAAATCAATTCAGTATTTCATGGTTACAAAAACAGTGACAGCGGTCATAATTCATTTTAAACTGAGCTTACGCAAAATATAGAAATATACCACGACTATCCAGTTATTGTGCAACCTTATTACTCCCCCAAAATAATTATATTTCTTTTTTATATTTTCTGAGTCTAAAACTATCACTCCCGTTTATCATTCATACAAAATGTTGTTCACACCTGGAACGGTGAACCGTGACGGCTAAGATTCACTGAGTGAAGATCAAAAGAAATTTTAATTACCCTGAGTTTAACCACGCATTCAACAGTCACTAAGTGTCACAGTACAATACACATTGTATTTACACAGTACTAGCTGGAAATGTTTGCTGGACTTAAGTAAAAGGTCAGAATACAAACATGCATTTTTAATACATTATCAATCATGTCAGTTATATATGTTTGTTCAAAATATTCGTCGGAAAAATATCATAAAAATGTTCTATTGTATGATTTACTTTTATTACTATAATCATATCAGAAATCCTTAAAACATAAATCCTACAATTTAATTTTACTGACCACTTTACTTTCTTAATTTTTAGTTGGTTAATAGCTACACCAAGAGTCGTCGATGCGCTTTAAATCGCGTTATTAGATGGTTAACGAACAAGACTTAAATGAGATTAATTCCACTCCCGGCATGCAAAAAGACTTAAACTACGTCACAGAAGTCAGGAAGTTTGAATAAATAGAATTAATAATTCCCAATTTTCTTCTTTATTAGTTTTCATATCCAAATAAAACTTGGTGAATATGTTTTTTATGGTATTATGAACATAATAAGATGATAAGTAAAAAATCGCGAATTTTCCCTTTAATGAACATAATTTTTTTTTTAATTGATCACTTAAAAACTCTCTGCAACATCTTAACATGGGTGCTTAAACAAAACTGTATGGTGTGGTACTGTTTTTGTACTTCCTGTTATCATTGTTATGTATCATTGAATTTGCAGAAAAGTTCCTGAAGAATACAAAAAAATACAAACTGAATTAAATTTCATATTTTGAACCAAAGACATATATACACATTATTTGTATATATATATGTCTCTGTTTGAACTTATCAACACTTGTGATAATTGAGTGTTCTTTGCATGATGTCCAGACAGTCTAGTGGTAAATTATTTCAAGCATGTAGAGATGAGAACAAAATAACAAAACAAATGTATCATTTCAAAGGATATAAAATATATTTGGACTGATGGTCAAATAATTTTTGACTGGGATTAAAATACAAGGTGAATTAGGTAAGATAAGAAATTTGGCATTACAACAGGTTATATGTACTTTCAAATACCTCTAACATACATGTACACATACCTCTACAGGTTGTTATAAACTTTAACATGGAAAGGGTGTGTGTCGTCTACAACATTTGTATAGACATCAAGGTCAAGATACATGTAGAAGTAGTAAGTAAGCAAAGCTTTCAACACTTCTTATACTGCAACTTTGTTTGTGACATTTGATGTCGAGACATATTTACCAAATAAAGCAATGTAATACAGTATCGTTAGCAATAAGCAGATAAGTATAAAATTTCAAAATGGAAAATCCATTTAAAACTTAAGCTTCTCTACTGTTTACATTATGTTTACAATTTCAAATACATGTATACCTTTTCAGTTTTTTCATTCTTGACTTCAGAAGGAATAATACATCTTGGTCCAATCTCACCTGCTAAACCACATCTGTAACAAAGAAATATGCCTACAGTATGTACCAATATAATTTTATGTGCAGTTAATTTATCATGCATACAAATATTCAAAGACATATGCAATGTTTATTGATGAATATCAAATGGTACTGTCACTTTAGTCAAAGGTAAAAACCATCTTGATTTCCTTGTTAGGTGTGAATTCTTTAGCTCATTGTTTCAGACCATCAACATGATAAAGACACTCTCAAGGTGAACAAGAGTGCACACCCTGAAATGTCTTGTCTTCTTAACTGACCATTGATTTTATGTTGAAAGTCTTAAATATAAAGGTTTAACTACAAGTATCAATTCACATAAACTTAACATTTTTAAAGATCCATGACAATGAGGTCAAGGTCAGAAAAATCATGTCAGACAGACATGTTCGCCTTATATAATTATTCCATACACCAAATATAGCTGACCTATTGCTATTAGTATTTGAAAAACAGACCAAAACACAAAAACTTATCATTGACCAATGAACAATGAAAATGAGGTCAAAGTCAGATGATACTGGCTAGATCGACATGTTCACCTTACAATCATTCCATACACCAAATATGGTTGACCTATTGCTATTAGTATTTGAAAAACAGACCAAAACACAAAAACTTAACATTGACCAATGAACAATGAAAATGAGGTCAAGGTCAGATGATACTGGCTAGACCGATATGTTCACCTTACAATCATTCCATACACCAAATATGGTTGACCTATTGCTTATAGTACTTGAAAAACAGACCAAAACACAAAAACTTAATATTGACCAATGAACCATGAAAATGAGGTCAAGGTCAGACGAGTCCTGCCAGACTGACATGTAACCCTTACAATCATTCCATACACTACATATAGTTAACCTACTGCTTATAGTATCTGAGATATGGACCTAATCATGTACATTGTAACTTTAACCGTGATCACTGATCTATGAAATGGGGTCGAGGTCAGGTGAACCCTGTCTGACAGACATGTAGACATTGCAAGGAACCAATAAAACAAATTGTTATCCTATTACTCATAATAAGTGAGAAATTCACATGATAAAAAACCCATAATTGTTCATGTTGTCCATGGAAAAAAAACATCATGTGTTGACTCAGTATTGATGAATATGACAGTAGCTAATTTAGTCAGAATAACTTTTATGTCAGACAACAGGACCAATACTGACAAAACACAATTTTGTTTTTAGTACCAGAAGGTCTCACAAATTATTTTCAACTCTACAAAGAGAGAATGAAGTCATGGATATACATGTATTAAGATTGTTTCCTTGAAAGGAATCTTACATGCACATTTTTATGTATACATTTGTTTTTAACTGTTTTGTAGTTTTCAAGAAGATCTTTGTTGATTCAGCCACTCAAAAAATGATATTGTTAATCATGATATACACGCAGCACATTAAAAATCTGACTAAGTGGCTTGACTTATTTAAATTTAAAGCCAAATATATTCTTACTGTATCACCTACACATTTTATCTTCCTGTTTACATGTATGCATGCATGAAATTTAGCATGAAACAAAATTTAATTTCCATCAAAGCCTAAGGAAAATTTCATTATGTGGATTCATAACACATGATTCATAATAGACGACTTTCAAATCTGTGCATCTTCCTGTACATTTCCTAAGTCACAGTCAACAGATTGTCCCATGACGTCATTTGCACAGATTGACCCTGGGTCAACTAGTGTAACTTATTCATACGATTCACAAAAGAACCTTTTTTGCTTGGTTCGATTTATGATTCATTTCATTCGTATTTCGGTTTGATTCCAATCCAGATAATTCCTGAGCGTTATAATTTTCTATCGGCCAATCAAAACTTGTGTTACAAATTAAACGTCTTTATGAAAATGACTGGCACATTTTTAGCTACACTAAGGCCAAACAAAAACATATGTGCCGACCACTTTTAGAACATTTTTTGGCATTTCTGAAAAACAAATTTTGATTTTGTTGAATGTGAACTTCAATAATTAAATTCAGACTTCTGTCATCTGAATTTCCATTTGAAGTATATATCTACTACGGCTGAAAATGCAACAAAATTAACTAAAACATAACATGTCTGTTTATTTTTACAACAATAGTATAGAGAATGGCAAACTTCTGGTAAGGGCGTGTAAAATAACTGAACCAGACTCAATGAAAACATGATTTTCCCCCCTGATTTTTTACCATCCAAAAAAAAAAAAAAATTTTGTTTTAGAACTGCCTTTCTACAAACCCTATTTTTTTCAGGACCTTATTGAAACCACACACTTTTTTAATTGGCCTAAAGGAACGGCAGGTTTACTAATCACACAAAAAAAAAACCAAAAAACAGAACAAAGGTAGTCAAACAAGTTCCCTGTAAAATTTTGCTGTGTCACAATTTCAAACATTGGACATCATATTAGAAAGATATCATTGCATGATGACAGAAGGTTATTCTGAGACATATCTAGGGTCATTCAGAACAAGTTCAGCTAAATACCCCTAATTATAGATTCGTCTATAACAGGTTTGGGAGGATCCTCATAAATGGGTACTATCCTCATTTATGGGTATTATACCCCAAAACGGGTATCAATTTTCAGTGATAAAAATAAAATTTTAATTTGGATTTACAGATATTTTCTGTCATGGCAAAAGCATTGGGTAAAAGGCTTCATTTTGACTAAATCAACTACTGTTTCCTGCAACTCAATTGGCAACTTCAAGTGTGAGTTGCAGAAGACAAAGTTGTGTTAAGAACTGTTTGCAAGTTTAAAAATGTATATACTGGTTTTTAACTCAGACCTACCAACTTCTGAAAATCCCCATGGGGGATTTAGTGGGCGACCAGATTTTTAAGGGTTTACATTTTTGCAGCGTTTCTGTATTCACTGTTTTCATGGTTTTATACTCTTGAAATAGTCTTAAATATGTATCTCTTTTTTTTTTATTTTGGTATACTGACGATGAGCTTAATAAGCCATGTTTTCTTTTATTTGCATGATTCTTGCAATTATATTAATTGGCAAAATAACTTCAGACTAGAGAATAATGGCCTAAAAAAATAAAGGATACAAAATGAAGACCCCCTTTTTCCCCTCCAAGGACCTTTTTTATCTTAGCACCTTAACTCAAAAGATCTAAACCTAAATGTCCTAAAGTTAGAAAGATAGAGACAGATCTTAAGTTAGTCAATAATGAGAAAATGGATAAAATTTGAGTTATCTTTCTTGGTATTCAAAGCTGCTCCTACCGGCAGAGGCTTATACACAGTAGAAGTAAATACAATATGGTGTCGATTTTAAATCAGAAACTGAACAGAAACACGTCTGATTTCAAACATTTTCAAGGATTTCAAGGTGTTTCATATAATGAGTTCATTACAGTTTTCGTCTTTCAGTTAATTATATTTTTGTCATGATACTACGGTAAACATTGCAAAATTGTGATCATATAATAAATTGATTAAAAATGAAATGCTGTCCGACCGATTCTATTTCTCAAATTAATTAATTTTGAGGATCATTATGACCCATCAGATAAACAGATTACCTGTAACAACAAATTATGACACCTGTTGTGACCGTTGATTAGTCTGGGTCATAAATGTAACCAGGTAAAATTATAGATTTATAGATATTGATCAGAAAAAGTTCAAGATCAGTAACCAACAATTTTTTCGGGTAGATTTTGTGAAAATCAGATTTTAACTTGTTTTAAGATCCCGATATCGGGATTCTGGTTGAGGCATGAAAATCGGGATGATACCGCTGAAATTGGGATAGTTGGCAGGTCTGTTAACTGCATTGTAAATATTGGTTTGTCTGCACCATGCATCAGTTCGAAAAAAGTACACCAGATGGTGGACTGAACAGTCTTAAAAAAGTAGGATGTTTGGAGGCCATTTTCATTGTACTCAATTCTCATTTAAACTATGGTCTTAAAGGGGGAAATGTTGCCATTTATATGAATATTTGCCCTATGACAGCTATCATGATGAAATACAAAAATTTGATTTTTTTATCACTTTAAATTGATACCAGATTTTGGGTATAATACCCATAAATGGGGATATTACCCATTTATGATGATCTTCCCCAACCTGTATAATGCTGTATACACCTTATTGCTATTTGGAAATCTGCGCCGCTTCTTTTTCTTCTTCTTCCACTAAGCGGCCACTGTCAACTGTTTGACTATCCTGCCACATTTTTGGAGTGCGCACATAAATACAATTTTAAAATTTAATAACAAAAACAAAAACTGGGTGAAATTTATATACAGGTGCAAATAAAAACATATCATTTGACCCGCTTGACTCGAGAATCTGCGCCGCTTGAAATATTGACGTCATACAACAATCATTTTTCCATTCTAGCGTCAGTTACATGAGTTATTTTCTATTGTGATGTCAAAATTTTACAGGAACCTTTGTGATGTCCAGTAATGGCAGACAAATAGCGATATGTTGAGATTGTCTCGCGGGAACATAACGTCCATACTATTGTACTTGTCCATTGTCAACGTCATATTGTCAGTGACGTCGCCGTGGGCGGAAATACAATAGTTGTATATTAAATGTAATGGCTGAACAGTTGTCTTTATACACATTGCCTTAACTATCATCTATATTTATATATTATGGTGCCTTGATCAATGGATCTTGAAAAATTGAAATCAGTTAGATCGGAGAACAGAAGCGCTGTTACCAGACTATTCCGCAGATTAGATGAAGCAAAGAAGAATACGAATTTTGATGAGGAAGAAGTCATTGCAATGCTCAGAAAACTTGTGCAAACACAAACATTGTTTGAGGACTTAAATGAACAAATTCTTAAGTTAACAGAACCGGAAGATGTGGAAAATGAAATCATTGATTCAGATGAATAATTGGTGAATATGGAAATGTAGATTCGACATGTACGTAAGTTCATACAAAATGTCCAAACCCCGCAGTCCCGTCATATTGAATCATCACATACTACAAATCACACATTAAATCCAGAAACTATGCTGTTTGTCCCAACGCACAACATAGCCAACCCACACAACGCACAGTCCTTTGAAAACCCGTCTGTCCAAGCCAGTCACACATTCAACACGCAACAAAGTACATTTTCATCAGCTAGTAATCAGTCACCGCCTACCAAAACTTACGCTTCCAACTTTCTCAGGCAACATTTTAGAATGGCAAACCTTCTGGGACTCATATGAGTCGGCCGTACATGATAAGCCCATCATAAGGTGTATTTGGTTGGGTTGTTGTCTGTCTTGACACATTCCCCATTTCCATTCTCAATTTTATTAGAATTCTCATTGACTTTTGAACCTGTGATGTGAAAAAAGGTCATTAATTCCCATTACCAAAGAGAGTGCAACTGTGCAGTGTAAGTTGCGTGTGTGTTTACGATGTCTGACCATCATAAATTATAAACTTCTACAGTATCGAATATTTTTCAATAGATATAAGAAGATGTGGTATGAGTGCCAATGAGACAAATCTCCATCCAAGTCAAAATTTATCAAAGTAAACCATTATAGGTCACAGTACGGTCTTCAACACGGAGCCTTGGCTCACACCGAACAGTAAGCTATAAAGCCATTAAAGGGCCCCAAAAATTACTAGTGTAAAACCATTCAAACGGGAAAACCACCGGTCTAATCTATCTAAAAAACGAGAAACGAGAAAAACTTATGAACCACATCAACAAACGACAACTACTGAACATCAACAAAAAAAAAATGTTTTTTAAAAGAAAAAAGGTTGCCCACTCTCACGGATGTGCAAAACTTTTATATACTATGCACCTACTTTGTATATACAGCCCCGATGTCTAAAATGACAACATTTTTATCACTGCTATAACTTAAAGCTTCAAACAGCGGCATTTCCACAAAATATTAATTTGGAAACTGTATTATTCATTCCCGGAAATACAGAAAAGTCCGATAACTCGAAGTGGTAGAAGTTATTACCGTACGAAGATTTAAATAAACGTACACAAGAACGGACTAGTTAAAAAAAGAGGAATTACTTCATGATTTTAATTATCATTTAAAATTTTTCTCTTTATCTTTTTTTTAACTTTCAATTAGTTCTTCGTTAATTTTCAGTACTAATTCTATTAATTTCATAATATCTATACTACTGTATTAAACCAAACTAAATTACTCAGTGGAAACCCCTAATAATGAATGCCTGATTGTACTCACAATCTGTCAGGTTCTGTGGTAAATGGACCCTTTATTTTCTGTGTAACATTTCTATGATGTTTCTGCTCATTTTCAATTCATCTAATTCGTTCTTGCTATTATTATAAACACAATCTTACATTGGAATCAGTTTGTAGTTGTAATCTTTCTAATTATTTTCCAATAAAAAGAAATCAAGGATAATCATGTGTTATTACTTAAAATAGGAATTCAATTCTTTGGATGACTGCCAACATGTTAGACTGGACATTCTTAAATTTTAGAAACATGTAAAAAAATATTATTTTTAGAACTTTTAACTTAACACTGAGCAATGAACCGTGAAAATGAGGTCAAGGTCAAATAAAACCTGTGAGACTGACATGTACATCATAGAATATTTCCATACACCAAATATTGTTGACTAATTGCATATAGTATAAGAAAAAAGACCAAAACTCAAAAACTTAACTTTGACCACTGAACCATGAAAATGAGGTCAAAGTCAGATGACACCTGCCAGTTGGACATGTACACCTTACAATGATTCCATACTCCAAATATAGTAGACCTATTGCATAAAGTATAAGAAAAACGGACCAAAACACAAAAACTTAACTATAACCACTGAACCATGAAAATGAGGTCAAGGTCAGATGACACCTGCCAGTTGGACATGTACACCTTACAGCCCTTCCAAACACCGAATATACTAGACCTATTGCTTATAGTATCTGAGATATGGACTTGACCACCAAAACTTAACCTTGTTCACTGATCCATGAAATGAGGTTGAGGTCAAGTGAAAACTGTCTGACGGGCATGAGAACCTTGCAAGGTACGCACATACCAAATATAGTTATCCTTTTACTTATAATAAGAGAGAATTTAACATTACAAAAAATCTTAACTTTTTTTTCAAGTAGTCACTGAACCATGAAAATGAGGTCAAGGTCATTGGGCATGTGACTGACGGAAACTTTGTAACATGAGACATCTATATACAAAGTATGAAGCATCCAGGTCTTCCACCTTCTAAAATATAAAGCTTTTAAGAAGTAAGCTAATGCCGCCGCCGCCACCGCCACCATAGCCGCCGCTGCCGTAGGATCACTATCCCTATGTCGAGCTTTCTGCGACAAAAAACTTCAGAAGTGCATCTATTGCTTAATTAATGGTAAAGGGTTTCAGAAAGTCTTCAAATTACTGTTAGAAGATGATTTTTTAAAAAAGATTTGTTGCATTTAATTTCTATGAGCATATTTTGTTAACAGACTGAGAGCTTCTAATGGTATGTAACAGACTTGGTAAGCAGTCTAAGTTTTGCTACTACTAGTAGGTGATATTTTCTTAAAAAAGATGTCAGTTACTTATTAAGACAAGGTGGCTGTATTTTTCAGTGAACAGTTTTTAGTTACAGGTGGGTAATTTTGTCAATAAAGCTAGTAACTAACATTCACTATAAGTTTGCCAGAATTGGGCACAAAATCACCAGCATTTATCATAGAATTGCAATTTTTGAAACTGACTGTCCTGTTTTCATTTGGTTAGCATGGTTATAGCCTGAATTATGGGTTTTAAAGATCCCTAATAGTAACTTAGCATTAAATAAACCTTAATGATACTTTTTTTTTTTAAGGTATTGATCTTCATAAATGATTGTCTTTCATATTAATGTTTCTTGAGTGTTTTTATTTTCTTTCTACTCACATAATTTGGTTTATTGTTTGAGATGAATTTTTGACTGTTTCTCTTTGAATCTGTGATATTGTGTGTGATGATTTCACAAATGGCGTAATTATAACCTATGATATAGCCAAAAAATATGAAAAACTACTGAAATTGTGCTGTGTTCAAGATCCTGCATTTGTGGATCAATAAAATATTCTAGGCAAATAGAAATAAATCAAATGTTATTATTTTCACCAAATATTGATACACAAATTATAGAGTGACTGAGCAGGGTAATATAAGCTTAGTGAAGTATGATGCAAAATTTTTCATCTTTCTTACATTTATATATTGGTAGTCTAGTACCTATTTGAAATATCTCCAAATTTTTGTAGCACATTTAGGATAAAAAAAAGTCTTTCATATTTTAATTACATTTTATTTCATAACATTATTAACATAAAGTAATCAATGGTTTCAAATAATGACAAAATAAATTCTAAACAATGCATTGTGAAACTAACCAGATAATTAAATATAATACCATTTTTATTACTGTAATAATCTATTTCATTCAAGTTTACATGAATTAAATACATAACAATAAAAAGTTCTTAAGACACCATGATGCTTCTAATTCAAAAAATTTCCATATTTGGCACAAACCTGTGTGTATTGAACACCCTTATAATAACCTTCACTTACTAATTCATAAATTAAATCAAATATTAAATTTATTGTGTTAAATAATTTTATTATATTTTATTTACAAATTCTGTTGAAGAATTATGCATAGCATTTGCAACTTAATGCTTTTAAATGATCAAAAACATTTTTTTAATGTTTATTCAATCTCCCACTTGAATACTGTGGAAATTCTTTCATTAAAGATTTTCTAAATTGCAATCTACAGTCCTCTTTTATGTTATGATTACATATCACTATTACCAAGAATGTTGACAACTTAGCAGCTTCTGCATTAATGTCTGATAGCTGACAAAAGGTTTTACAAAGACAGGGCTTTATTTTAAACGGAAAGCCGTAAAGTCTGACAATTTAAGGTGTATATAAATTTTTAAAGGATAGACAAAATCATAATTCTGTGTCATAGTTAATCATCATCGTGAATGATGCTTGCAGTTATACTGAAAGCACATTTCAATATCAATACTTAAGTGACTAATCAAAGTGGTAGAATTCATATATGGATATGTTATTCATAGGCATAAATGCCCATGCATAAATCTTTTCAAAGCGATCAAACAACATTTCTATTGGAGGTGTTTTTTTTCTTACAATAATAAATTATATATAAAACACATTTTCGATTTATTTACTCTACTCATAACTTTTATAAATAATTATAAATGTACACAGTACATGTCTGGCAGTATAAAAAAACATGTGTTTTCGTCAACATAATATAAACTTATTATCCTTGACCTTGAAATGTCTAATAGACCAGCTATTCAACCTTCATAACATTCATGACATTAGCTCTATAAATTCAACAAAATGCAAAATACTGAAATTTCCTCACACGAGCAAACAATCAGAAGAAAATGTAATTTACATGAATAAAACCAAAACTGAGGACTTCAACAAATAATGTAAAAGTGTATGATATATCATCCATAATTTTGTTAGGCAAAAATGAATTTCTTGATTTTCATATTAATTATTGTCCTAACTAATAGAACATAATGCATCAACCATATTAAAGGTAGATAACATTAAAAGTTTTGCAGTGCCAAATAGCAAAGTTGATATGCTTTAAAACATAAATGTCAAATATTCCAATGTATAAGTTGCTGACATGTTGTTGTCACCCATATTCCCTGAGAAAATATGTTCATTAACAAATAGACAATAGACAGTTAGGTTCATATTAATGAAAAACAGTGGTAAGTTATTAACCCTTTATCAAGATACTTAGTGAGGATAATACCTAGCCTCTCTATGGTCTTATAAAAGTCTTGAAAGGAGAAAAGTAAGTTTTTAAAGGTGGGTCACTTGCAGAGAAAAACTGTGTTACTGACTGAGAAGAGTACCAATTAACCTTCTTTAAACTGAGGAACACAATTTATTCTATCCCCTTGATAACATAATCAAGGGAGACAATCCCTTTTGAGGATAACCTAATTAAAGGAAATAACTCAGGACTGCTTACTACTTCAACAATATTTTCTAGTATCAATATTTACCCCCTTACATCTCACACATTCGAAATAATTATCATACATATTTTCTCTCTATGCAAATGCACATAGTCAATGAACACAAAAAGACAAATGCAAGCAGTGAAGGAAAACATATATATTGTAACATTCCATTCTGTCTTGTATTTATATCTAACAGGTTATTGCCAATTACAAATAAATAAGATTTATAGACAAGCTGCTTATCAAGATACTAAAGTGTGTCCACTAACATTTATGATGGCTTCGCATGCATGAAGTTACATTTGTCTTAATGTTTAATAAATGTACATACTTGACAAATACATTCATACAAATTTTACACCTGTTCATGTATATTTATACACTTAATAGAGTATAACTGAAAGAAGAAGGTCCGGTAAGGGCTTATTTTGGCCTAAAATTTGAAGTACATCTGATGAAAGATTTTTTACATTTTTTAAACACTTAAGTGTCTTCTTTAGTCGATTCAATTAGTTTATGTGAAAGATTTGAACTGATTTGGTCATTAAAGACGCCTAAATTCAAGCATATATATGAAAAATCTATCAAATATGCCACAAACTGTCACTTTTCAGATGGTTTTTGACTAAAATGGAAGTAGCCGCATTCGTGTTCAGTCTCAACCTTTATATATGTTATGTATCATCATCAAATACAACAAATATTTAAATATTAAGACTGAACACAAGTGCGGTCACTTCTATTTTAGACAAAAACTGACTAAAAATAAGCACAAATGATAAAGTTGTGAGGATTTAAGTAATTTTGAATGAATTAATCATGCTAGTACCTGATGCATGTGCATTGTTTGACAAATACAGTCCATATTTATGTAA